CTGGCATTCTACCTGACATTCCCATCTGGCATATCTTCTGGCATTCTATCTGGCCGTTGAGGTCCGGCAGTGCCCACTGGGATCTGGAGCTCGCGGTTGAGGTCCGGCAGTGCCCACTGGGATCTGGAGCTCGCGGTTGAGGTCCGGCAGTGCCCACTGCGACCTGGAAGTCGCGGTTGAGGTCCGGCAGTGCCCACTGCGACCTGGAAGTCGCGGTTGAGGTCCGGCAGTGCCCACTGGGATCTGGAGCTCGCGGTGGAGGTCCGGCTGTGCACACTGGGATCTGGACTGCGAGGAGGAGGCGGCGGGTGAGGAGGCGGAGGAGGAGGAGGAGGAGAAGAGCTCTGTTAAAATCTAGCAACCCTCACCTGGCAGGTGGCGAATAAATAAATATATATATGTATGTAAAAAATATGTGTGTATAATGGCGCTATCTATATATATATATATATAAACCATATAATTAGTGGGGTCTAAAAATTGGAATCACAGAAGGATCACATTTATAAACCAGGGAATGCCAAATCACCCCTTTGGCCACCAATCTGTTGAACAAAACGTTGAATGTAGTTTTTGTTGGAAGACCTCGTCCGTTTTTTTAAATGACGACCCCAACCAAATCTCGTGTCACACATGCTTCAAAAGAGATGCAACCAGACGCCGGAGGAGCCACTGAAACCTCCTGTGACGGAATAAAAGGCTTGATTTTGGCTGCTCTAAATAAAGTCCAGCATCCTTTCTTGGCATGATCAACAATGCCAATAATAACATAGACCCGGGCAAGCCGGCGGCGGAAGTTTCCCAAACATAAATGACCTATAGTTCAAAGACCACCTGTCCCGACCGTGTCCTTCCCTCGACACTCCACACCTCACACTGCACACTGCACTCTTCGCACTCCAAACTTCAAACCTCACACTCCACACTTCACACTCCACACTTCTCACTTCTCACTGCTTCCTTCACACTCCAAACCTCACACTTCACACTTCACACTGCACACTTCACACTTCACAGTCCACACTTCACACTTCACACTTCACAGTCCACACTTCACACTTCACACTTCACAGTCCACACTTCTCACTTCTCACTTCGCACTTCACACTTCACACTTCACACTCCACACTTCACACTTCTCACTTCTCACTGCTTCCTTCACACTCCAAACTTCACACTCCACACTTCACACTTCGCACTTCACAGTCCACACTTCTCACTTCTCACTGCTTCCTTCACACTCCACACTTCACACTTCACACTTCTCACTTCGCACTTCACACTCCACACTTCACACTCCACACTTCACACTTCTCACTTCACACTTCTCACTTCTCACTGCTTCCTTCACACTCCAAACTTCACACTTCTCACTTCGCACTTCACACTCCACACTTCACAGTCCACACTTCACACTTCTCACTTCTCACTGCTTCCTTCCGACTCCAAACTTCACACTCCAAACTTCACACTTCCCACTTCGCACTTCACCCTCCACACTTCACACTTCACCCTTCACAGTCCACACTTCACACTTCTCCCTGCTTCCTTCACACTCCAAACCTCACACTTCACAACTTCACACTTCACACTGCGCTCTTCGCACTCCCACACGGCACAGTCCACACTTCACACTTCTCACTTCACACTTCTCACTTCGCAACTGCCCTTTCCTTCACACTCCAAACTTCACACTTCTCACTTCGGCACGTCACAAACACTCCACACTTCAAACAGTCCACACTTCACACTTCTCACTTCTCACTGCTTCCTTCCCCCTCCAAACTTCACACTCCAAACTTCACACTTCACACTTCTCACTTCGCACTTCACACTCCACACTTCACTCACACTTCACACTTCACAGTCCACACTTCACACTTCTCACTGCTTCCTTCACACTCCAAACCTCACACTTCACACTTCACCCTTCACACTGCGCTCTTCGCACTCCAAACTTAAACTTCACACTCCACACTTCACACTTCTCACTTCCCACTGCTTCCTTCACACTGCACACTTCACACTGCACTCTTCACGCCCCACACTTCAACTCATCCACCAGCACCACTTGCAACCCCATTTACAATGCGGGAACGATCCTACAGTTGCAAATCACAATGGAATTCTGTCGACCACACATGCACGAAAAACAGTTGAAACCCCATTTACAATGCGGAACCGATCCGAGACCAATCCGAGACCAATCCGAGGATGATCCGACCACACACGAGACCGTCTCGCACCCGTCGCACCGCAGAGGTAGATCATCGAGGTTCGGGGACAGACTTTGTATGGAAAAACATAGGGTTTCGTGCATCTGCTATCTCTCAAAAACGCATTTCGTGCGAGACTTCCTTCCAAACTCCATCGGCAACTCCTCCACCAGCACCACTTGCAATGATTTTACAGTAGGGGAACGATCCTAGAGTTGCAAATCACAATGCAATTCCATCAGCAACTCATCCACCAGCACCACTTGCAACCCCATTTACAATGCGGGAACGATCCTACAGTTGCAAATCACAATGGAATTCTGTCGACCACACATGCACGAAAAACAGTTGAAACACCATTTACAATGCGGAACCGATCCGAGACCGATCCGAGAATATCCGAACATGATCCGACCACACACGAGACCGTCTCGCACCCGTCGCACCGCAGAGGTAGATCAGCGACGTTCGGGGACGCACATTGTATGGAAAACATAGGCTTTCGTGCATCTGCTATCTCTCAAAAACGCATTTCGTGCGAGACTTCCTCCAAAACTCCATCGGCAACTCCTCCACCAGCACCACTTGCAATGCCATTTACAGTGAGGGAACGATCCTAAGGTTGCAAATCACAATGCAATTCCATCAGCAACTCGTCCACCAGCAACACTTGCAACCCCATTTACAATGCGGGAACGATCCTACAGTTGCAAATCACAATGGAATTCTGTCGACCACACATGCACGAAAAACAGTTGACACCCCATTTACAATGCGGAACCGATCCGAACATGATCCGCCCATGATCCGAACATGATCCGACCACACACGAGACCGTCTCGCACCCGTCGCACCGCAAAGGTAGATCATCGAGGTTCGGGGACGGACTTTGTATGGAAAAACATAGGGTTTCGTGCATCTGCTATCTCTCAAAAACGCATTTCGTGCGAGACTTCCTCCAAAACTCCATCGGCAACTCCTCCACCAGCACCACTTGCAATCCCATTTGCATTGCGGGAACGATCCTAGAGTTGCAAATCACAATGGAATTCCATCGGCAACTCATCCACCAGCACCACTTGCAACCCCATTTACAATGCGGGAACGATCCTACAGGTTGCAAATCACAATGGAATTCTGTCGACCGCACATGCACGAAAAACAGTTGAAACCCATTTGCAATGCGGAACCGATCCGAGCATGATCCGAGCATGATCCGAGCATGATCCGACCACACACGAGACCGTCTCGCAACCGTCGCACCGCAGAGGTAGATCATCGAGGTTCGGGGACGGACTTTGTATGGAAAAACATATATATAGGCTTTCGTGCATCTGCTATCTCTCAAAAACGCATTTCGTGCGAGACTTCCTTCAAAACTCCATCGGCAACTCCTCCACCAGCACCACTTGCAATCCCATTTACAGTGAGGGAACGATCCTAGAGTTGCAAATCACAATGGAATTCCATCAGAAACTCATCCACCAGCACCACTTGCAACCCCATTTACAATGCGGGAACGATCCTACAGTTGCAAATCACAATGGAATTCTGTCGACCACACATGCACGAAACACAGGTGAAACCCCATTTACAATGCGGAACCGATCCGAACATGATCCGAGAATATCCGACCATGATCCGACCACACACGAGACCGTCTCGCACCCGTCGCACCGCAGAGGTAGATCATCGAGGTTCGGGGACGGACTTGGTATGGAAAAACATAGGGTTTCGTGCATCTGCTATCTCTCAAAAACGCATTTCGTGCGAGACTTCCTTCAAAACTCCATCGGCAACTCCTCCACCAGCACCACTTGCAATCCCATTTACAGTGAGGGAACAATTTCTTTGCTAACTCTTTCTGTGACTAACTCTTTTCCTCACTAACTCTTTCTTTGACTAACTTGTTTCTTGGCTAACTCTTTCTTTGACTACCTCATATATCCTGACTAACTCTTTCTTTGACTAACTCTTTCCCTCACTAACTCTTTCTTCCCTGACTAACTGTTTCTTTGCTAACTCTTTCTTTGACTGACTCTTTCCCTCACTAACTCTTTCTTTGACTAACTCTTTCCCTGACTAACTGTTTCTTTGCTAACTCTTTCTTTGACTACCTCTTTCCCTGACTAACTCTTTCTTTGACTACCTCTTTCCCTGACTAACTCTTTCTTTGACTAACTCTTTCCCTGACTAGCTCTTTCTTTGACTAACTCTTTCCCTGACTAACTGTTTCTTTGACTAACTCTTTCTTTGACAAACTCTTTCCCTCACTAACTCTTTCTTTGACTAACTCTTTCCCTGACTAACTGTTTCTTTGCTAACTCTTTCTTTGACTAACTGTTTCTTGGACTAACTCTTTCTTTGACTAACTCTTTCCCTGACGAACTCTTTCTTTGCTAACTGTTTCTTTGACTAACTCTTTCTTTGACTAACTCTTTCCCTGACATTCTAAAAGTCCGTAACACGGAAGTTTCTCCCCCTAAACTTCCTTTGATAATTATATATATATATATATATACATATACATAAAATGTATAAAATGAGGACTATAACTATACCCTTTTATGCAGTGAATGAAATGACTGTGTTTAACTTCCTCATTAAAAAGAAAAACAACTTTATGTAATCATGAAAACATGATGTTTCATGATCATTAGGATCTCAGATACATTGTTTCAGGCCCCAAATTCGATGATATGTTATAGTGATGTATTATACTGTTTCATATCCCATTTTTCTCATTCGAAAAATCGCCATGTTTCAGGCCCCTTTTCACGCACCATGACCATCCGGAATCAGGTCGGCCATTTGTCCCGAGCTGACATTCAGCATCTCCAGCCCGAGGTTCGATTGGTTCGATACGTCCGGCTGAGGCGATTAGATTGATTAGATCAGCCCAGCCCAAGAGTCTTTTTTATTGGGGATAGAATCTATAGAATCTATATGGATTTTATGACGATATATGATGATATATGATGATATATGATGATATATTTTGCTATAGGATGATATACGATGATATATGATGATATATGATGATACATGATGATACATGATGATATACGATGATATATGATGATATATGATGATACATGATGATACATGATGATATACATGATGATATATATGATGATATATGATGATATATGATGAAATATGATGATATATGATGATATATGATGATACATGATGATATATATGATGATATATGATGATATATGATGAAATATGATGAAATATGATGATATATGATGATATATGATGATATATGATGATATATGATGATATATGATGATATATGATGATAGATGATGATATATGATGATATATGATGATATATGATGATAAATGATGATATATGATGATATATGATGATATATGATGATATATGATGATATATGATGATATATGATGATATATGATGATATATGATGATATATGGTTCAAATACCTTCTCTGAAGGTGTTTGGAAGCCTAGGGTTGGATGGCTGTTGCATGTTAAATCTTACAGTGCGGCTTATCCGCCACCACCAACACTGATCCCTAGGACTTCGATAATTCATACGTTTAGTAATGTGAATGGTGCGCGAAGAAAAACCCACTGACCAAGTTCCAGATTCTCCATGGTGCTTATCACCAGTTCATGTCATGTAAATGAAGGCAAGTATATGCAGAATATATGGTCGATATATATATATATATGTATACATATATATATATATATATATATATATATATATATACATACATACATACATACATATATATATACATATATATACATATATATACATATATATATACATATATATATACGATTTTTAGCGACCTCACATCGAGCTCACCATACATGATGGTGTATGTATATAATATGGGGGAATGAAATGGCCCTCTAAACCTCTCATCTTGATGGAGAATCTGCGACAGGAACAGCTCAAGAAGTGGCACGAAATGCTCTTGCCGAAAGAGGCATGATTTCGAAACATGGACTGGTGGGAAAACACTGGAAAAATTCCGGCTTGGAACATCTGAAGCAAGACTGTTTTAAGTGTTTTCCCAAAAGGAAACATTCCTTGGTTTGTCTGAAACCAGGCTACCCCGATTCCAATGGATGATGATCATTATCCCATTCTTTTTTGGTCCGCAGACAAATCCAAATTGAAGGCTTTGGGTTTGCTTGATGGTATCCCTAGATCCATTGGTTGATCAGAAGTGTCCCCATGACATTGGTTCTTTTGAAGTATATGGTATACTAACATATACTACCGTATACCTAAGCATGTTCAGACCCAACCCAACAATGAAGGTTGGTGATTTGATATCCCATGAAATCCCCATGATTTGTTCCCATGTTTCTTCGGTCCAAACTCACCAACTCAGACCTTCGTTTACCCCGTGTAGCCCATGGGGATGAGATCGATATCCCGTTAGGAAGTGGATAATTAAGTAGAGTAACTATGGTTTACGGTAGATATAAGATGATATAAACATAGTTAATATTATATAGTTTTCATGGGCTTTATAAACCAACATTCACATCACATAACGAACTAGCATTCATGGGATTTATAAACGAGCATTCACATCACTGGGCACCATCCTGTAAGTGGATTTTTTCATTTTTCGACTCCACATATCTCCATATCTTCAACACATGTTCAAAACTATATGATGTTTCATTCTTATCAGTTCATCTGGTCATCATTGTTCATCATTATTGTTCATAATCATAATTTCATGTAAAATAAGAATATCATCACTTTTACAATATCATGATATACTTACTGGTGCTTAGTAGGGAATGAGGGAATGATCCACAATAGCTATTAATAATAATCCCATTCCCCCATTCCCATTCATTCCCTACTAAGCACCAGTAAGTATAATCATCATGACAATTCCTCAATTGGATATTGTTCATCATCTGTTCATCAAGGCAGCAACAATATCCATGATCTTTCAGATGGAGCCCTGTAGGTCGACCTCATTTCCGAGCTGGACGTCCGTTGCCTCAACAAGCCGCGGGTTGGGGGAAGCGTTGGGGGAAGCCACTGGAGGGGTGATTCAATGGGAGTTCATTGGGATTTTGTGGGTTTTAGTGGAATTTGATGGGGTGTTGTGGGATTTGAGGGGATTTAATGGGATTTGATGGGTTTTAATGTCAATGTGTTTTAGTGGGATTTGTTGGGGTTTAGTAGGATTTTAGGGGATATATGATCCTATACTCCCTGGTAAACTAACAGTCTGAACTCTGGGGAAAAACACAATTTTATGTTGGTAAATCAACGATACTTACATGGCAAATTTCAATCGCTATGTTAAATTACCAAACGGTAGTGAGAGGGGGAGGCACTGTGCTAAACCTACGTTTGGTGGTACTCTATAGTCAGCTAGGTAGGTTTTTTGCTAGGCTAACTAAGGTTTGTCGTGATTATTTCTATACATAAGTATATAGTTAGAGGTGATAGATCTACGGCTAGAATTCAGAATTGTCTGCCATGCTTTGCATTGATGGTGGATTCGCTCTCGTGTAACCATAGTTCACCATATATTTTGCCATATTTACAATATGTTGCCATTTGTAGGGGAATTGATGATAGCCATGATAGCTTAATCATAGGTTACCTATGATTACCTCATATGGGCAATTGATGATTTGGTTCTAAGGGCACCCACGTCTTGTCCATTTCCGCTTTGATATGTTCCCATCCCTTTACAACAGATCATACCCGAAAAGCAGATCCCAGATGCTCAGTGTATTTCTCTTATACATATATATATATATATATACATATCACAATTTTAATCCAACAATTTTGTAATTTTATCTATTGATTTGGCGGAGAGAAAGCACAGCATCTGATCGCACAATTTTCGACGCAATCTGATCGATCTACCGGGCAATCAAACGTGGCGAACGGAACATCCTGGATTTTCCAGCCACAGATGACCAGAGGCCACCCATTCACCAACCATTCACCAACCATTCACCAACCATTCACCAACCATTCACCAACCATTCACCAATAACAATGGTTTATAGTAGACTTATCTATACTCATTTATACTTATTTATGTCTATCTTATATTTATATGTATATAATTATATATATATATACATATTAAGGTTTTTTTCAAGCAACAAACATTGACATCACTAAAACACCATTCACCATTCAGATCACCATTCCGACTCGCCAAGGCCACGAACATTTTCTTCATCAACGCCGAGTCGGTGATCTGTGATCTGCTGATCTCTTCGGGCGAAGGCAGCTTTGATGAGGACATCTTGGGATGGGATGGGAGGCTCGGGTTTTACCGTTTTACCCGGGCTGGCCCTCTGGTTTTCACATACCAAAAACTATGGTTAACTATGGAACATTTGCCATTTTCGCCATGCTATTCATGGGCAATAGTATGGTTTTACCCGGCCTGGTTAACATACAAAAAACTATGGCATATCACTGAATATCACCATGCTGGACCATGCTATTAATGGGCAATAGTATGGTTTTACCCTCTGGTTAACATACACAAAAACTATGGCATATCACTGAATATCACCATGCTATTAATGGGCAATAGTATGGTTTTACCCTCTGGTTAACATACACAAAAACTATGGCATATCACTGAATATCACCATGCTATTAATGGGCAATAGTATGGTTTTACCCTCTGGTTAACATACACAAAAACTATGGCATATCACTGAATATCACCATGCTGGACCATGCTATTAATGGGCAATAGTATGGTTTTACCCTCTGGTTAGCATACACAAAAACTATGGCATATCACTGAATATCACCATGCTGGACCATGCTATTAATGGGCAATAGTATGGTTTTGCCCTCTGGTTAACATACACAAAAACTATGGCATATCACTGAATATCACCATGCTGGACCATGCTATTAATGGGCAATAGTATGGTTTTACCCTCTGGTTAACATACACAAAAACTATGGCATATCACTGAATATCACCATGCTGGACCATGGTATTAATGGGCAATAGTATGGTTTTACCCTCTGGTTAACATACACAAAAACTATGGCATATCACTGAATATCACCATGCTGGACCATGCTATTAATGGGCAATAGTATGGTTTTACCCTCTGGTTAACATACACAAAAACTATGGCATATCACTGAATATCACCAGGCTGGACCATGCTATTAATGGGCAATAGTATGGTTTTACCCTCTGGTTAACATACACAAAAACTATGGCATATCACTGAATATCACCATGCTGGACCATGCTATTAATGGGCAATAGTATGGTTTTACCCTCTGGTTAACATACAAAAAACTATGGCATATCACTGAATATCACCATGCTATTAATGGGCAATAGTATGGTTTAGTGGGATTTGAATGGGGTATGAATGACATCATTGTTTGAGAAGTTCATCCTGTAGTGATTTTCCTGGAGATTTAACCAAGAAAAATATGGGGAGTTTTGATGATATAGAAACCCAAGATTGTTCATCAACAATCCCCAAGTTATGACATGTTTTTCTTGTTTTAAACAAAACCCAATAGTTAATATATATATATAAATATGTTATAATCTATAATTAATCAACATTCCCCAAGTTTGAGAAACCCAATAATTACCCTCTGGTAAACACACGAAAAGCTATGGAAACTCACCAGCTAATGGTCCCCCGTAATGATAGTGTGAATGGCATGTTCGCCCTATCCGCAGCATTTCCTCAGCTTCAATTAGGAAGACGTGCCAGGTGTGGAGGTAAGGTCACCTGGCATCTGGAACCTGGACCCCGGTCCGTACCGGGTGAAAGGGCCCAGGTGTCGGGATGGCTGAACCCGAGCCCTGGCGGAAGACAGGACGAAAAGCTGGTGAGGAACACTGGCTTGGGTTGACACCCAGCGCTGTTGTAGAGGTGAGCCTCTATGACGATGCGGGGCGACAGCAGGGCCGAGGTGTTGTGAAATTGCAGCACCGCGCCATAGAGGATGAGGCTGGCAAAGGTCAAACCTGGCGAGGATTCTTTCTGGCCATTGAAGACGGATATTACGAGTGGTGGGTACAAAATCATTACCCCACGAAGGTGCTGCCATTCCACTTCTGTCAGGTGGCGGCCCATCGGTGTGGGGAGCAAACGCTGTACCGGGACCCCATCCACGTTGACGTCTTCAGAGTCTTGCCGGATGATACATACGTGAGGCTGCCGTGGATGACCGATGAAAAGAATGAGAAGGCCAAAAGCTTGTTGGCACTCCACGCCACGCAGGCGCCTGCGGTCCCAGCCCTCGCCTCTCCAGCTGTGGGGGGTGGGGATGGTGGCCGTGGGAGCCGAGCTGATGGTGAAGTGGAGGTGGGTGAAGCTGGCATTGCAGGGCTGGCTCGAGCACTTGGAACTGCAGGAGATCGTGGCGACAAGAGAGAGAGGCAGATCGACGATGATAAGGAGGAAAAGAAGAAAAGGAAGGAGAAGAAGGCACCAGTGGATGCCCGAGAGGAAGGCCTTCGAGCCGTTCTGAATAAGCGGAAGGCACCGCTACCTACCGGGGGTGCGGTCAAGCTGAAAGGAGACGACCTGAAGAAGAAGAAGAAAAAGAAGCGGAAAAGAGATTCAGAGAAAAAGCGGAAGTCCAAAAAGGAGGAAGCTAGCAAGGGGTCCTCCGAGGAAAGTGACTCAGGGGACGACGAGACCTCCTCATCGAGTTCAGGGTCGCTTTTTCAGTTGGCCGCGCTGCCACAGGGAGTAGACCGATTGCACCGGTTGCATCAGGAGAAGCCAGGGGCTCTGGCGGACCTAACGCTCCGGCGCTTTCAGGAGCTCCTGAACCGCTCAATAGGCGGGGGAACGGCCGAGACAGAGCAGGAGATGCCGCCGGTAGCGCGCGCATACCTCAGCCAGATCTACATGGTGCGCCATCCAGAAGCAGCGATTGGCCTGCGGAATCTGAGAGAGCTGCGTACGTTGGCGACGCTGGTGGATCTCATGGCCATGAACGACTCTCTCCGTGCACTCGACGTGGCCGTACAGAGAATGAAGAGCATCGAGCTGTTCATAGCTCAGGGCCAATGGAGTCAAGCAAACTTGCTGGAGCTCATTGTGCCGGAGGAGGAGCAACGAGCCTGGTTCCGACAGGAGTTGAAGGCAGCCCAGCAAGAGCACAAGAGCGACCTGAGGCTGCAGAGGGACCAATGGCCGAAAAGGAGGGCCGCCTGGTATCCCTCCCCCGGAGGGGGGGGGAACATGGACAAGAAGGAAGCGGAAGGAAAAGACGGAGGACCACCCGAAAACGGAGGAGGTCAGAGCCAAGGGAAAGGAAAGAAAGGAAGAGGAAAAGGGAAGAAGGGCAAGCGGTGGTGAGCCCACCCGCGGCCCGGCGGGGGTTAGAATACCCAGCGATGGAAAGGGCCCTAAATGAATGTGAAGTGTCTGAAGAAACACGAGAGAAGGTCAGAAGCCTCATGCAGGATCCGGAGGTGGTGGCGCTCTATCGACTCAGGAGGTTTGCGTTGGGCAAGAGCCCAAACTGGAAGATGATAGAGCAGGATTTCTTTGAGATGATTGCCAATGTCGCTGGAGACCCACCTGCACTGGTAAAGAAGCAGTTGCGGCTCAGCTGTCAATTCCTAGGAGAGGAATTGATACCATCCGCATCGGAAGTGGCCTGCCGGCTCTTGGGGGTCGACCAATCTCAGGCCGGGGTTGATCCTCGGTCTGGGGAAGGTCGGCTCCTAAAGTTGGTGAATGGCATTGAAGTGCGAGCTGCTGACATTGAGTGGAAGAGAGAGGACGGGGTTTATGTTGGCACCCCTCACAAAGAGTTTGGTGCCTCAATCTACCACCAGGAGTTTGTCAGTCAGTTGGATAAGGAAAAAGTGAGGATATCTTTGGTGGGTCAACACTTATATGTTGGCTCAAAGGACCTGAGAGCTGCCGACTGGTTGATTCAGGAATTTGGGCTGATTCCAAAAGAGCACGTGACGCCGGTCTCATGGAGGCAGATGATGCGGCGAGGGCTGGGGCTCAGCTTGTCGGTGAGTCTTGTGGGGGTGGTCTTAAAAGTCGGCATTCAAGACCGCCCTGGAGAGTTGGGCAACTTAGCGCGTGCCCTTCCTTGCTGCGCTCTGGAGAACTTTCACCGACTGGCAAAGGAGCTACTCCCATTGCCAATGCCCATCATGACCGACGAAGAACTGGCTTTTGAGGCAGCGGTGAAGGAGGTCCTCTGTGGCCGCTTGGATGTGACCAGTGAGAGTTGGAGGAAGCTGAACAGTGAGGCAAAGGAAATCGGTGTGAAGGCATGGACCTGGCTGCAGTGCTTCGTGATCAACCACCTATACTGCCACGGAGCAGGTGGTCGCATGCTGTCTGAGTGCATGCTTCATGCGAAGGAACCTACTGCGAGCCAGGAAAGATCCATCAAGCGACTTGACAGCTTAAGCAAAAAATGGATTGAAGAAGATAAGGAGGATGCGATCAGGGCAGACACCTGGGAGAAGTCGTCTGAGACATTGGGGGACATGTACACAGGACCCAACGTAGGGAAATCCTATCCTCTGACATTGGAGGCAATACTCCCCACAACACCAGGTGCGAGTGAAGCGGCGAGGATCCCATTGTCAGAAGTGGTGAGCGACTCGGTCAAGGAATATGTGGATGACCCTTCGCTGCTGCGTATCCCGGACGAGGAGCTCATTGGGCCACGCACCTCAGCGTTGGTGCAAGTCACCAGCCAGGAGGAGTGGGACAAGATCGTGAGCCACCTGGTAGATGCAGGCATGCTTGAGAGGGAAGTTGAGGCAGAGACCTTCAAGTATCGAGGGGAGCCAGTTCGTAATGGGGCGTTTGGCGTCCACAAGAGTTGGGTGCTGAAGGAGGATGGAGAATGGCTCCGCACGTTGAGATTGATCATCAACATGATCCCCGGCAACTCGTTCCAGAGACGCATGCCAGTGAGAGCTTCGGAGAAGATGGGTTATGCCCCGCTGTGGGGGAACCTCTACTTGCATGAGGACGAAATCATCATATGTGCCGCTGAGGACCAGAAACACTGCTTTCATATCTACCGGCCAGGATATGCATGGCGAGCCTTCTTCAGTTTGAGTAGGATGGCTTCAGGACAGGCCTTCAAAGATGGAAAGGTGGAGAAAGGTTACCCTCGAGTGAAGAGTGCACCCATGGGGTGGAACAATGTGGTGGACTTTATCCAGGACGGCTTTGAGAACATGGCCAAGATGGCAGGTTTGGCGCCTAATCAAGTTATTCGAATGGGCGAGCCGAGCCCGTTGGAACCTTTGGCAACTCCCAGATCATTCTTTTCGTTCTATGTGGACAACTTTGACCAGCTGAAGATCATCTGGAGGACCGACCGGGGGCTGTACGAAGGCCAGCCGACCGATGAACAACTCCAATTGCGAGAGACCATGGAGGAATTGACTGTAGGGAGAGACCCCAAGAAAGCAGCTGAGGGATCAATCAGCTGGACCAGTTTGGGAGCCGAAGTGGCTGGAGAGGAAGGATGGATTGGCAGCTCGCGGAGCTTCCGCCGGGCACTTCTGAGTGCTAACCTTGGGCTGTTGGTGGGGGATGAGGTCCGTACTGATTCCCCCAATCTGCAGTCTGTGGTTTCAAAGAACATGCACTCGGTGCAATACAACCGGCAGCTGGCAGTGTTGTTTGACAGGCTGTACGCGGAAATGAATGCCAGCAGGCCACGACTCTTGAGTGAGAAAGGTCGCGACGAGCTCTTGCTGCTATGCTGCTCACTGCCCATGCACTGGCTTGACGTCAAGATGAAAGTGTCAGGCCAAGTGTATGCGACAGACGCGAGTCCAGAAGGCGGAGGAGCCTGCTGCACTACTGGCCTGAGCCCCTGGGGAAGTGCAAGACTTCACAGCCTCAGTCATGAGCGTGATGGACTGGAGGGAGCCGCTACTGAGAATGCCCTAGTGATCGAATGCTTTGCGGGCATGGGAGGCCTGAAGCAAGCACTGGATTTGATTGGGTTTGAGCCCGCTGGGGTGGTGGCAATTGATACCTCGGCTGAGTGCTGTAAGGTATACAAGCAGCACTGCCGCCACGTCATCTGGGTTCAGAAGATTGAGTCCGTGACGGAGGAGCAGGTCTTGGAATGGAGAAGGCGATTTCCGCGCGCCACAAAGGTGGTCATTGGAGGAGGATGGCCATGCATCAACCACTCGGTGCTGAACCCTAGACGACAGGGAGCAGAAGGAGCTTCGAGCAAGCTGCTGGACGACATGTTGGCAATCAGAGGATGGTTGGGATCGTGCTCAGAGAAGTTGCACCTTCCCCCATGGAAAGTAGTGGAGATTTTCGAAAATGTGGTCATGGATGATGCAGATTACGAAGCCCAAAGCAAGAAGATTGGGTACACGCCCTACTTTGTTGAGGCTGCTGAGATTGGGCGTTGCCGAAGACCCAGGCTCTACTGGATTTCAGGGGTGGACCTTGTGGCTGGAGATGATCTGTCTGTCGCCGCGCGGCGAACTCTGAGAGGTCACAACTACCAGGTGAAGCAAATCAAGGTGGACACGGAACGTCCCCCGCTCACATGGTTCCTGAATGAAGGGACCACCAAGATGGCCGAACCTGAAGAGCCGTTTGCAACGTTCACCCGGCCAATCGCTCGACAGAGCCCTCCAGAAGATCCTGCCGGGTTTGACCAGGCCACAGAGAAGGCCTTGAAGCGGTGGCGCGGAGACAGTTACAGGCTCCAGCCCTACCAATATGAGCCTCGTAACCTGGTAACCGACAAGAATGGGCCCAGAAGGCCTGCAGTCGAAGAGCAGCTCCGGATGATGGGTTTCCAATCCACACACCTCAATACCAAAACCAAGCTCAGTGCAGACCTGAGAGGTCAAATGGTTGGGAATTCCTTTTCAGCGATGGTGGTGGCTCGGCTCTTGGTGGGCCTGGTGTTGAAGCCGGAGCAATGTGTTGGAAAGGATGTCAGCCTGATGCTCTGGGAAGTCTGGAAAGCCAAGGAAGACAAAGCTGGTCAAGAAGGAAAACCTTGGAAAGTGAGGTTTGCAAGTGTGGCTGCGGGGGTTCCTGGGGTGGTGAGCCTGCTCGAGCGGGTCTTGCCATCACCAGTCGCGCCCCTGCGGTCATTCATTGACCCTCAACAGTGGCTGACAGACGAAGAGATGCTGAGCTACTTGTTAGCTCGCAATGGGACACACCGTGGTGCTGAGATCCGGATTGACTTGGGGATGCCTTACTCCGTTGGTGAACTGTGCCGGCAGAGCATTGATCCCAGTCACTGGATTTGGAAAGTCTTGATGTCCTACTCATGGAGAGAGCCAGGACAACACATCAACATCTTGGAGTTGGTGGCGGTCCTTGATCTTCTCCGCCGGCAAGGACGCGATCCAAAGCATCATGACCAACGCTTGATCACACTTGTGGACAACCAAGTTGCAATGAGCTGCCTCTCGAAGGGACGCAGCTCCGCTCGAGCCCTCCAAGGTCCCCTACGCCGCATCAGTGCCGTATGCCTAGCCGCACACTTTCGACTCTGCCTCGGATGGATCAAGAGCAAGTGGAACCCAGCTGATGGGCCCAGTAGATGGGCCAAGCGTCGTCGCAATGCCTAGACAACAGGTCTTAGGCCGACGGGGCCGAGTCGAAAGAAAAAAGGACAGGCAGGCACTGGGGAGTCTAAAAGACTTGGTTGTGGCTAAAAACACTCGGGATCGATATTTGGAGGCTGTTTCACGTTTCTTGCTGTTCTTGCGAAGTCATGGTTTCACTTATCCTTCTTCCTTTTCAAGTCTAGATGCAAAAGTTTGTGAATTCATTGAAGCTTTGTGGCATAATGGGGACCCTAAGTCGTATGCTAGCGATTGTTTGTCTGGCCTGGGGCATTTTGTTCCGCAATGCAAGCGAAGTTTGGTGGGGGCCTGGCGACTGCATGGGAGTTGGACTAGGGCGGAGTTGCCTGCTCGTGCTCTACCGTTTCTGCCTGTGATGGTTTATGCCCTTGCTCAAGCTGCATTTGACAAAGGCTGGTCTGATCTTGCTGTCCTCGTCCTTTTGGGTTTTGACAGATTTGCGCGGTCTGGGGAGCTCTTTATGGCTAAGAGAGGAGACTTTACTTGGAATACCACCAAGACCAAGGCCATTTGGTCCCTTCCTTTGACCAAAAGCGGACAAAGAGTCGGAGCTCAGGAATCTTTAGTCATTGACGATAGCTGGCTGGTGGTGGCACTGGCTAACTACATGTCAGCCCTCTCTCCAGGGGATTATTTGCGGAGTGTTTCCCCCG